GGAGGCGAACTGCTAACTGAGGCTTGCGTTGCCACTTTGGCGATTGCTGGCACGTCTACCGAAACACGGAGCAGGCGCGCTTGCCCGAAACCTTGAGACCGAGCAGGAGCCTGTGCTACTATTAACAATACCCTGCTCGCAAAAAATTGCTGGAGTTGATTTGACGGAGGTACCGGTCGCAAGCACCTATTCAGTCAGCGAATCTAGCGCCATGCTTCCTGCAGAAAGCTTGGCCAGCAATGACGTGAGCTGCGCAGCCCTTGTGCTACCGCGGGCGTTACCGAAATGAAATGACAAGGCAGTGCAGATTGCAACACACCGAATGAGACATGATCATCAGGGTCCAGACAAACAAGAGTAGCCCCAAGACAACATGTGCTTTCCCTGAAACAGACATCGGTTGATCGGCTTCGTCGCGCAGCAGCATACAGGGGCAAGGGTGGATCAGGACGCAGGGCATGATCTCGGATCAGACACGGAAACAGGTCGAATTACGGTGTGGGAGCGGAACAAACGCTGGTCCGCGGAGGACCCCAAATCCACCAACGCCCGAGCATCCAGACCATTCCAACCATCCCAACCGCCGACCCGCAGCCATCCCAACAATCCCAACCATCCCAGCCATCCCCAACATCCCAACCATCTTAGCCCTGGCGGGTGCCGACCCCAACCCCTAAACCCTCAAACGCCTGAACCCCTAAACCCAAAAAACCTCTCCAACCCCTAAACCGCAACCCCTCAAACCTTTTCGGGTTCCACCAAAACCTCATACACCCCTAAACCCAAAAGCCCAAACACTTCAGATCCTTAAACCCCTCGAACCCGTAAACCCCTCGAACCCGTAAACCTCTAAACGCTAAAAAGCCCTAAACCACCACACCCCTTAAACCCCAAAAACCTTCAAACCCTAAACCCCTAAACCCAAAACCCTTCCAACCGCTCAACCCCTAGACCCGAAAAGGCCCTAAACCACCAAACCGCTAGACCCAAAACCCCTCAAATTTAGATCCCTAAACCCCTAAACCCAAAACTCCGACACCACCAAACCCTTAAACCCAAAAACCCCTCAAACCCCCCCTACACCCTAAAAGGCCCTAAACCCCAGAACCCCAAGCCCCTAAACCCCTAAACCCGTCAAGCCCCTACCCCGAGCCCCCTAAGGCCCCACACCCCTAAAACCCAAAACCCCTCAAACCCCTAAACCCGTCAAACCACCACCCAAACGCCCTAAACCACCAAACCCCTAAACCCAAAACCCCTCAAACCCCTACCCCAAAACCCCTAAACCACCAAACCCCTAAACTATAAACCGAAAATCCCTCAAACTCCGACACCCAAAAAACCCTTCAAACCCCTCAAACCCTAAGAAGCCCCAAACCACCAAACCAAAACCCCACAAATTTAAACCCCTAAACCCAAACGCCGAAACCACCAAACCCTTAAACCCCAAATCCCTCAAACCCCTAAACCCTAAACGGCCCTAAACTACCAAACGCATAACGCTCTGGGTTGATCTCGTTGCATCCATCAGAGAGTGTGCTGTGCTCCCTGTAAAACCGCAGCCACCCTAGCACCAAAACACCTTGCAATACAAAAAATGCGTGTACATGTCGCTTATGGTCGCTTCCTTCCTCGCTCGGCTTCTTGCCACAAAGTCTTGGGTCGTGTTTCCCAAGCATTGACCCTCCAACGTAGCCTCTCCCAGTCCAACATCCGGATGCGGGCAAGTTGCTAAACTTGACGTGGCCGCCTTGATCATGTCCACCATGCTCCTAGGAGCTTTGTGTTCTTGAGGGACACTTGCTAGGCACAGAAACGAAGAGCTGGACGCTCAACATCCCAGCTTTGCTTCATGTCGACTGCGAACCCTGGTATAAGTTCCAATCTCGTACACTACTCCGAGAGCCAGCAATCCAGAATGGCATCCAAGCGTCAGAGCCGCTGTCTTCAGCCCATCATCTGTGCACATCCTCAGAGAACCGCAGTGGCTGCACAACGATGGTGCTTCAAGCCCCAAGTCTGTCGTCGGGTGCTCAATTGAGCACCTTGAACTGCCACCGCGGTTCTGTGCCCACTGGTAAGCAGGACTTCTTTCAAAGGACGTGGGCGATGCAGGTCGATCACTAAGCTCCAGTCAGACCGCCATGAGCCCCTATCCGATCGGATCGAAGCCAGATTCATCATTCCAGCTTTGATCCGGCCAGCATTCAACAGCTTTGCCTCTCTGGTAAACAAGTGCTCCTGATCCTAGAGCGCAAAAAGATGGCATGGGGCGGGCACCATTTTTGGCAAGGTATCATTCTTGAAGTGCAACATACGGCATAACGAGGCACACATGGATGCAGACGTACATCGCCTAAAGAGCTGAATAGCACGATCGCCGACAAGGGGAAGGGGGATGAATTGCTGTCTCTGCTGGCGGCTAGCGGAGGTTGTGGAACACGAACATTGTGAAGCTGCGTGCGTTTAGAGGCTGTCCTCTTCCTCCTTGCCACGAATGAGCAATGTCTGAGTTGACGAAATCTCTATGCTTGCACGTGGTACAAAAGGCCAGATGGGAGAAGTTCGGGGCGAGAGGCATCTCTCCTCTCGCCACACACAAACTATGAATGAACTCGCCAGGCGAAAGAACTTGGACTTGACGCAATGCCCCGATGCATCCCTATCTGTTTTTGCAAAATCTTATTAAGCCTTTTTGCGATCAGACACAAGGCGTTTAACACCCTCCTCAGTTGTCCTGTAAGTGCTGGGGGTCAAGAGACGCACCGTGAAGGAGCGTCCTCCCAGCAGAGAGCTCGATCTGGAGTCCTCTTCCATCCATACATTCCATACCTATCTAATTATTGGAAAAAGGAAACCGCTTCGCCACACCGGTACAGGACAGTTCCCAGCAAAAGGCAGAATCGGCGAAGCTATCACCCGTTCCAACTCGGGTGCGCCAAAAGGTAGCCGACATAGAATCTGGTGGGCGGGTCCGCGAATTACCTGCTAAGTCTAGAGAACACATCCCCCACCCAGGAACCGAACAGCCTCATACCTGCACTCAGGGGCCCCTGCAGCAGCCACGCAGGTGCAAACGCCGCGCCGTGATGCCGACCATTAGAAGGAAGCCTGCAGGCTTGCTTCAGCTTGGGTAAACGGTGTGAACACCCCTCAGTCGCTGCAGCAGTCACTGCAGCCTTTCGAGCGATGTCATCCCGCACCTGCTGAAACCTGACCTCTATTTTGACGTGCTCTGAGAGAACCGAGAGATACGGGCTGTCTGCAGGCTCAGCGGGCGGGGGGCGAAAGGCGAAAGCTGAGGCCTCTCCCCGCCAACTCTAGGTCCACGCCACACCTCAGTGTCAAAACCGCGCCAGCCAGCCCAAGGAAACCCCGGGTTGCATGTAAATCATGGTTGCAACATCCTGTCGCTCCGAAACAAGCCCTCGCAGCGCTTCAAAGTCGCCTTCCGCCGTCTGCGTCTGACTTTTGCTGCTCATGTTTCCAAACCTGCCCAGAGGTTGTGAGCCAGAACAAACAGCATCCCGGCCTGTCAGCTCTCGATTCTGTACTCTACGTTTGTCACTCACCTGGAATTTCACGAATGATACCGGAGGGGGCCAGTTGAAAATTGTCTCTTTTGGAGTTGACAGCCTCAACACCTCGAAATTCTTCTCTTCCACAAGGCCAGGTCTAGTGGGTCTGGTGCTAGCCTTGAAAGCCGGAGATTGGCAGAACTGTCCCGGAGTCCGTCTCTTCTTCCTGTGCCTTTGTGTAAAAGCCTCTTTTCGCAGGCGATGCTTCTCTGGAGTGCGGAGATAGCTAAAGCTCACGAACAGCGACGGATACATGTGTGTATATATACATACATACATACATACATACATACATACATACATACATACTGTGCAGGATAGAAAACAACGGCGGCATAGCTTGAACAGAGTTGCCCAGCTGTCATCATGCTGGGATGATTGCTCTTGGGGCAATGGCCTCGAACCATGGCGACAGAGGGCAGCAACCAAGACAGTTTCTTCAGGGCTGCTGAGGATGTGCTGCGGGATTTCGAGGATCAAGCCACACAATGTTGCGGGAATTCTTAGACCAATCAAGACTGGCTTGCACCTGAGCCGAAGCAACAAGCAGGAATACTGACACAGACTCCTGGAAGTAAAACATGATCTGATTCAGCTTCTGCTAGACACGATGGATGTGAAATCCAGATTTGAAACCTCTCAGGACACGAGAGCGCGACAGGACGGACACGACATCGCATGAAGACGACGCTGAGATCAGGCCCTGATCACGCCCTCGGGAGCAAAATGAGAAAATATGGAAGGTGCAGAGACGTGGCGACGACACACTCTTTGGCTGCAACCCACATAGGCAAAGCAACAGCGACATTCCGTCTGATCTAAGCTAAGATCAGTCCATGGTTTCAGCCCTGCTGGGCCGGGAGCCTCCAAATTACAACACGATGCACGATGCGACGGCGAGGCAGCACAGCCCAGAAGGGGCTGAGATCACGCTCTCCAAGGGGCGTGGAGATGTGATGTGAAAAAGCAATAAGTTTGTGCTGCTGTGAACCCAGACACACAGACGCACGGACGTGGGGCGACCAAAATGACACCTCACACATTGCCATGTCCCAGATCCGCATCACCGTTTCTGCCGCACGCCTGTGCCCCGCACCAACAATCCTACGTATATTTTCCTTCCGGTGGATACTTGTCCCGGAAGTGCCTCTGTTTGGGGGGTCTGGTTCCTTTGTGGTACCAGCAGATAACACTTCAGAGCATCCTCTGTCGTTCGGCCAGGCTTCGAATCAGCAACCCCCGCCTAAGGCCAGCATTGCAGCATTGCACTTACGATGATTTTGGTTGTAACTCCAACGAGCAATCACCCAGCATAGCTCTGTCGGGGCTTTGCCACGACACGCAAAAGGGACGGCTCCGCACCAGCGAAGCATGCTCACATGCTTGGGTTCCCGCTTTTGACCTCAAGTCTGGAGCTCCGGGCTAGAGAGGCTGATGTGGTGCCCAGCGGTATGCCCGGAGCCTGAGTCAAGCAGAGCTTTTTGGCCCAGAGAGACTCAGAGACTCAGATCCCAAGGCCGTAAGAGCGGTACTGTCTCAGGTTGCCCACTCCGAGTCCGCCCTTCGTGAGCTTCAGGCCCAGCGGAAGCGACGGATTGCGCGGCCGGGTTGGCCACCGCCAGGTCTTGGCCTGGGAGCGTGGCCCTCCCCCCCTTGGCCCCTTGCGGGCCCTCTTTCTTGGCCCCCCGACTTCCGGATTGAAGATCACGTGATACAAATGCTCGAAGGCCGTTGTCAGGCCCTGGCGCGGTGCTGGAAAAAAAACAAGTCCGAAGCGGAAAGGGTGGAGAGTCGAAGGAAAGCGCCTTGTGAAACCCAAAGAGCCTGCGCTTTCCTTCTGTGTCAGTGATCTCCTGTGCGCGGAAGCGTCTACACGGGATTGCAAAGATCAGAGGCCGCCCCGCTCCTTCCAAGAAATAAACTTGGTTCCAAGCAGCAGCTGGTAGTTGCTGGCACCTTCAAGTCTTCTAAAGTTCTGAAGCCGAAGTGCAGCCGATTCAAACCAGAAGTGAGACGCTGGCTGCAGAGGGAGCGCCAAGCGTTTTGCCAGAAGGCCTGCAAGAGACTCAAACTTCACACACGCACAGATATGCCCTTTTCAAGCAAAAAGCACTTAAGCCCGAAAAATCATCAGCAGCTCGACAGAGAGAGCTGCAGGTGCCACAGGCCCACAGGCCTTCGGCCTGCTCTCAGCGGCTCTTCGGCTCGCGATGTACTGCGCAAAGTCGTAGCCGCCGTAGTCGTCCTCGCAGCGGCGCGTCGCTTCGCGCGTCGCTTCGCCGCGGCTCTTCGCGGCTCGAGTGCAATCCAGAGGCCTGGCCGCCTGGCCTCGGGAAGCTGTGGAGGCCGGTCGAAGAGGAGCTCCCAGGCGACTTCGACCCACTGACAGTAGCGACCTGCCCCGCGGCCCCGCGCCCGCGTGCGCCCACTTCTTGCAAGCCGTCTTCCCACCAACCCAGGGGGAGACCTGAGGGTGTCCGCATCGTGTATCGCTCGAGGAAGGAATCCCCTGAGCGAGGCAAAGCGTGCACTCCACATCGACACCCTGCAATCCTGCCCCCACCTCGAAAGACGGAGCGGGCCGCAGAGCCCTGTGCGCAGAGACGAGGGCCACAAGCTCTCTGACCCAGAGGCCGCCGGTTTCAGCTCTGCTCTGCTCCTCGTCTCCCTCGTGCCTTGCTGGGAACACGCATCCGGCAGTAGCTCTGGATCTCACTGCCCACACGTCCTGACCTGGCACTTCTCAGTCAGGTATCTTGGGAGGAAAAGCGAAAAGTGAGAGTGTCAAACAGTCTTCGAGTTGATCCAAATCTTTGAGACCCTTTGGGCCGCGACGCGTCGACTGGCCCATTGAACCGGCGGCCCAGGTGCAAAAAGCCCACATCAGGAAAGAGCCTGCTCAGTGCTCCTTCGCTTTCATACGTGCTCTTCTAGCCTAGCCTCAGGGCCAGGGAGTTGAGCAACGCCACGAAGGACAAGATCGGGATATGCTCATAGCCATCCGGGTGGAGAATCATCATAAAATCCTCAGGCATGGCTATGTGGTCTCTAAGCCATGCAAACGCAGCGTCCCTTAGCAGACAAGGGGCTGGAAGATCGTCGTAGTGCCGTGCCACATGGTGCAAGTTCGGAGCGACCTCGCCCGTAGCCATCTCCTTCCAAAACGCGGATGATTTCAGAGGTTCCCGCGAGCCTGCACCTCAAGGCCCAAGGAGGCCCAAGGCCCAAGGCCTCGAAGAAGGGCACCACAAAGGCTCGCCTCCAAGTGCCCACGAAGCGAGGCAGAGGCGCAAAGCTCCCCGGAGGCCCGCTCCGGGCCTGAAATACCGCGCCACCCGCAGCAGCGGAGGAGGCAAGTCCAGCAGGGCGTATGGCGAGCCTCGCACGAGAGCAGAGCTCAGAAACCGCCTACGCGCTTTGCGCCGGAGCCTGGTCGCTCCGAGCCGCTCTGGAGGTCCAGCTCCAGCTCCACCTGAGACCAACTCTGATCCACGCAGGCCGCAGACTGTCGAAGTCGCACCTCGTTTTGTAGGCCGTATGCAGCCGATTCGCAGAAAGCAAAGCAGACATCGTAGATGTAGAGATCTAGCACCTCCACAGCAGCCGCGGACAAAAGTCAGGTGACTACTGGGTGAAACGGGCCGTGCCGCCGTGCCTCCTTCAAAGGCCGGGTCTCCTGGAGGCATGATGCAAGCGCCACGCACGAAGTGAAGTCACGGAGTCACGGATCCGAGCAGCGACGGAATCGAGTGACCGAGGGGGCTCCAAAAGCTCGCAGCGACGCGCACGACGCGATCCGAGGCGTGGGAACGGCATGGAACGAAGCAGGCAGGCAGCAGGCAATATGCGTCTTCTGGTGTCGGCAGTCTCTTCGGGCTCTTCTAGTCGCTGTTTTACACAAGAGAGCGCTTTGTGCCCTGTGCCTCTCTACTCTGTGACTCGAGGGTTGCTTGGCAAGCGAGCACCTTGGCTGAATCCCACGCGCGCCTTATCATAAGACTCCTCCTAGTCATATAAGGAATGCATGCACGCAAACAACGAGGGCCGGGACTCATACAGAAATGTAAATGCTGACGTGTAACCACTGTAGTTTGAGGAATTGGAAAACTGACTTTGGCACCGAATATAGTGGGACGCTTCCTTCCCAGTGAGAAGGTTCTAGATTTCCAGGTTTGACGGCATAACCATTCCAACATTCTAGATGACGAAATCTGGAGTAGTTCCCGAATTCCGAGATTTGAGGGGCCCAATCATCCCAGAAGTTGATTTCCATTTGGAATCATTCCAGAAATCGAAGCAGTCAGTGTGTTGCGACGATCTGATCAAATCATGCGAGACTCATGTTGCTACGAGGACATGGGCGGAAAGCTATAAGGTCTGGAAATGTATACGCATATTGCCGTTGTCCGGATGCAGCAGTCCTGACATATTGTGATTCGATATCATGCCTTCAATCGTGTATTTGGCTCGCCGCACGCTGGCTCCAAGCAAAGCGATCCGACATAGTGTAAAGGACAATTCGATGACTAGCATGCGCGGGACTTAACAACTATCGATCTTACCTTTAACTTNNACTTGTGGTCAGCTATCTTCTAAACATTTCCGCAACACCAAAAAAAAAATATATATATATATATTCATGAGATGTTGGTCGAATAGTACTATCTGTATATACTAGATATTGTTCCGTAAGTCAATACTAGTCTATCATGGGGCTTGCATCTCTGATAAAATGCCGGCAAAATAATGCCCGCCACATAGCAACTTCATATGTAACCCGATATTGACTGCTTGCTAGACACCAAAACGAATATTCAAACAAAAGCTGTGAACATACTAACCAGGTGTCGTTGAAGTATTCAACAAACGATCAAATAAATACTACATCCCCCTCGTCATGCATCATGTAAGTAGTAAACAAATGATACATATATATAACTTTATATAACACTCACTTGCGGTGGAAATATGAAGAAAATACTGACCACAACAGAATAGTTTACCGTTCATATAAGGTTCAAACCAAATTTACAATATTGCTTGATGTTGCA